GAAAATGTACAAAATGTACAGTGTGCTTGCTGGTAGGCTTTAGTAACAGATTACATTTGTCACTAAGCTTTACAGTACTTGCCATGTGTAAATATATTTTCTTTAATGTATTCTGGCCTAGATGTTGTGTCTCAGAGGAGAGAATTAATTAGATGGGGAATTCCAGGGCTGGATTATGTCAATGGCAAGTAAATTGACTTCTCTTCAGTTGATGTTAAGTTCTTTTTAAGATTAGTATAATTAGTCTGATTTTACAGGTGTAGAAACTGATTTGGAAAAGCAGAGTTACTCACTGGGTTTGTAGGAGCCCTGTGAAGCACATCTGGGGCCGTGGGAAGGCAAGATACAGCACTGAGTTGCTGCTGGAACTGCAGCGTGGATGTCTGTGGGTGCCAATTAAACATTGGCACCCTGATATCTGACCCTAATTGAAGACATAGAGGGAAACATCTCCCTTGCCACGGGCTGGACAGAACCAGGACCTTTGCAGATCAGCTCTGTGTGTGGCACTGTCTGCTGCACTTAACATCAGGCTATTATTGAACAGTGTGGGATCCACACTGTAAATTCATGGCCCCTTTACAGTGTTTTGGTGGGCCTGAGATTTTTCTCTTTTCTCTCTTTCCACTTTCTGGACAAGTTTTGATGTTGTCCTCGACAGCTGGTAACATTGAGGGAAAGAGTGAGGAGAGGGATTTGAGGCAAGTGTTGTTCTGTGTCCCATTGAAATGCAAGGGGCTCTTAATGTGTCAGGATGTACAAGCAGGAGGAAAAGAATAGAGAAATGTGTGAGCAGAGGTGAAGAACTGTCATACTGTACTGAATAGGCAGAGTAGGCTGATGTCATTGCCACCATAGGAACAAAAAAACCCCAGAGAGATGCTGGGCTTGATTACATCAGTTCATAAAATGGGCTTTGCTTTCCTCTTTGCACTACCAGCTTTGATGCAAACGCTGAGGTAATGCAAGAACTCTTAGTAGAAGTGCAAAACAACCATGTTGTAATTTTTTTAGCTTCAGAGAGGATTCTTTGTTATTGAGGGAATGGTGATTGTGCCACTCATTTTAGTAAGTACCTTTTATAACAGATGACATTCAGCTGGACTGGTAGAGACACATTTTCATCCTTTGATGCCATTCTAAGAGTCCTGGTTGAAATGGAAAATTTTACTTCTTCATCTTCTTTTGCACATACACAGGAACTTGAATAGAGAAGAATGGAAGTCCTGCATCATTTTAATGCATTGAAATATGCAAATAGACTTCTTTTTTTTTGTTGTTGTTGAACTTTCTGCTTGTTCTGCCAATAAATATGAGAATTTGAATGGGTCTTACTAAAAATGCTTATTGAAGCAGGCTTCCCAGCTTGCTGCAGAGGGGGACTTGGGCTCAGGTAAAACACCCAGACTGGCCAATATTGAAACAGCTGCCTTTGCAACCTGTTTCAGGAGCATGGGTAAATAAGGCTCTGCACCCTTACCGAGCTATTTGCAAAATGAGAGCTTAATCATGTTTTGATGTAGCTTATTGATACACAGACACATAGATATTGTAATGAACTTATCTTGGGGTTTAGGAAACATGTAGTTGTTTTGCAGAATTCTACTGTTTTTGTTAAATAGTAGCTATCAGTGTTAAATTGCTTATCCTGTACATCACATCTGAATTTCGTACTTTATACCAGCATGGTTTGAGAAATGTTTAGAATGTGGTTTTCACAGGGACTGAGAGGACATGTACTGGGGAATGCCCTTAATAAAAGGGAACCATTAAGGGTGTTGTGAAAATAATATTGATTTAGCACATGAGAAATAACAGTAACTATTTTATTTATCATAATAAAAAATGTGGAGTAGGAGGAGGGTAATTTTTGGAGCAAAACTTCGCATTGTGAAGAAGTGAGGGCATCCTGGGTCATTTTGCCAATGAAACTCTATAACCATGTAAACATAAAACATCAGCTTGAAACACTTAATCTAAGATATTGGGCATTTCTCCTTTAAAGTTCTGTCTTGCCTACTTTTGAAAAAGTAGAGTTAAACAGTTTAAAATTTTGTTTCCTATGATATGCAATATGTAAGGACTTTCTGTTAATATCATACTATAATCATCAGACAGTTCTGTTGCTTACAAGAGAAAACAATTTTGTGATGTATTTCCCTCTCATATTAGGAAAAAACCCACATCTGCCCATAAAATTTACAATTTTCCAAGGATATAGGAAAATTATATTTAAAAAAAAAAAGGAGGAGGGGTGTGAAGCAAGCATTCAAATTTCCATGGAAGCTCTGTGTTTATGTAAAGTACAGCAGCTGCACTGCAAATTCCCCTCTCTGGATGACCTCAGTTCTGAACAAGACAGACTGTTCTGGGTGCAGGTGTGATTACTGAATTATTTGTTCTGTTTTAGTGTCAGTCAGTTACAGAGAAGTATTATGAGTATTATGGGAATAAAGTGAATTGGTAGATTTGGTATTCCACAGTTCACTATGTGCCTTCCTGCTATTGCAGAAATAGTTTATTTTATTCTCTTGAATTGCATTAGTTAAATAGGACAGACAAGAGGAAGGGACTCCAGCAACAACCTCTGAATACATCAGGCAGACAGAAAGGCAGGACTGCACTGAAGATACTGCTCGACATAAAAGACAGTTTTGACAGCTGAATTAGGATATTTTTTTAAGAGGTTTGTATATATTTTTGGAATTGAGAATTTTAATTTGCTTCTCCATGCTTCTTGAGAAACAGAGCTGTGAGAAATGCTCACTCCTAACACATGCATCCAGTCAGCCTTGGTCTGAATGGGATTGTTCTTGTCAACCTGCCAGCAGTTTTCCAACCTACCTTAGGTCACATTGGTCTTTGCAGGGTGTCTGTACTTATTTATGTTCTGCATGCCTTTTATCTCTAACTGGTTTATGCAATTTTATAGGAAAATCCTTTTCTTTCATCAGTGTTTGGTGCAGACTGCCAGAGAGCAGGACTGAATGTACTGAAATGTGGCTGCTTTTCTCACACTTGTCTCCAGCCAGGCAGGTGCAGTCAGAGTGGATCCTGAGTTCCTGAGCACCTGATGTACAGCATGTCAGCTTTTCAGGGTCTTGGAAGAATCAGCACAGATCTAGAACCCACAAAAGCAAGTCCTTATAGAAAGATGAGTGTAGTTTCCTCCAAATAATTAGCAAATCCAGGCTCTCCTTTGACAGCCATGTAAGAGAACTATTCACTGCAAGATGTGTGACTTCAGCAGCCAAGGCAAACTTGCACTTGTAGGAGGTTTTCCCTTTTATTGATGAAAGGGCAATAAAAGGACATGGCACTTCATGTGAGTGGTAGTCCTGTAAGGGTTAAGGGGTGATGGCAATGGTATCTTTATGCATCCCCTATTCTGTTCCTTTTCTCTTCAAACATGGTCCTGACAGGACTGGCTTTGTGTGAGGCACAGAGCATTAGTACAGAAATGTGTGTGAGAATTTGGAAACATTTTTTTAAAAGGCAAGGGGATTAAGATTCCTATGCAAAAAACAATGTACTCATAAACACTTTTGTGTTGTGTTTAATAAGCTTGTATTATGCTGTGTGCTTTAAGTAAAAAACAGATGGAAAATGGAAGGACATTTGCTGAGACTGATTGTAAATACTGATCTTGTTTCTGATCCAGTGGAGTTTCTTTAAATGATCTAATTGAAGACATATAAGGAAACAGATCAGGTGTCTCTGAGGATTAACAATGGCTTTGCGTGAGTAGGGAATGATAAACAGGTCAAAGGAATGTGTAATCAGTGCAGTCACACTATAGCATGATTCTCCTGAGCTTGACAATTGCATACCTTTCTTTTAAACCATCTGAAGCAGATAGATCTTCCTCATGAAATTGGTAATGTGCTTATGGTAGAACTTGGGAACACATCAACATTTCTGATGGTGGGAAGTGGAAGTAGTGGAAGAGGGAGTTGGCAGGGTCAAGGACAGTTTGAGCACCACCCACTGCTCTTGGTGTTGGGAGTAGTGAGACACTGTGGTGGTAAACAGCTGGGGTTTCTCTGAGTCAGTCATTCTCCCTTCCCACCTCATGGCTCTGTCTACCTGCGTGGGTGGCCAGGTGCATTTCTAGGCAAGGAAGTCATTAAAATTGATGTCACATCTCACAGTCATGTAAGGGGGGAAAGGGGACATGATTGCATCTTTTTGTTACCTGTTTTGGAGCCTTTGTGCACTCACAAAGTGAGTGCTGTACGTGACCACCAGTAAAAAGGGCAAGGGACCAACACAGCTTGTATCTTTAGTCTCACCTGTCTGTGATAATGCCAGGCACTAGGCTGCACATCCCTATTATGGTGCAGGAAGGGTCTTGTTCAGAAACACAGCTGTGAATATCTTCTTGTATTCATCTGCCTTTCTGCTTTCTGGGGGTGGATGGTGGTTTTAGATCGATAGCAGTTGATCTGATCAAGGGTATAAAGGTTAGGGGTGAATACAATTGGGGACATGTTAACTTCAGCAGGTAGCATGGCTTGTGCTTGGATCAGTTCTGCCTCCTGCTGAGAAAAACTGGTGCAATAATAAAGTGTCAAGGCTGGGTGTCTTGGAGCTTGATGAAGGTCACAGGTCAGAGTTCATGGTGTGCTCACTGTCCTGCACTAACAACTTGTGTCTGTTAACATCAGGGCTGGACATTTTGCTTCAGAAAAGGCACCTCCATGTAGAAGCTTAGGGCAAGGTTGCTACCTCAGCATGAGGCTACAGTAATCTGGAATAGTATTTTGTGTATGTGTTCTTTTGTTAGCTGGTGTAAGGTAGCAGGTTATCCTGCTTCTTTTAACAATAAAATCTGACACACCTGAGCCCAAGGAGGCCAGCTGGAAGAAGATATTGAAACTCCCAGTAAGTGAGGTAGCATCATGTAGCATTCAAAAAAGTTATATATCACTTGAGATAAATAAGAGTTGTTTCTTTATGATCTTTGAACTTGTTTGCATGTTTCTTATTTGTTCTTTCAGATAAAACAGTGAAGTCTTTAACTGCTCCAGAAGAGGGTCTGGAAGGAAAATGTCTCTGGCAAAGAAGTATCAGGTAACACTGGTAGTGGGGAAATTGTTAATTTTAAAAATATTTATCTGAATCAGTCTTGATGAATTGAGTTACACCTGAATTTGAAGTTACAGGTTCAGAGGAAGAAAATCTTGAGCTCTTGGGTCACTGAAACCGGAAAAGTGCCTGCTTTTCATTTTTATGTAAAGTGCTACTGCTTTTGATATGCAAATAGTGCACTATACTTTGTGACCTCAGTCTTCTAGAGAGCAAAAGGAAGGGCAGAGAAAAATCTGTGTGGTGCAGGAATTCAAATGATATGGAGACAGGGTTCCTACTCCCTTTCACAATACAGTCCTAAATTCCAGTAAAGCACAAAGAGATCAAATCAGCTTGGACTCTGAGGGTAGGGATTGCCCTGTGTTGTAAGGGGCCTTTGATAATTCCTGGGTGCCATGAGTATAAAAGGTAACTGAGATGACTGAATGTTAAAGGAGCTGGAGCAAGCAGTAATAGAACTGAGTGGGCTGTAGCCGAGTGACAGCTCATCATATAATCATCATGTTTTCCACTTAGAGCATCTCTGAAAAACAAGAAAGATGGTTTAATTCTTTCTGCTTTTCCTCTAAAAAGAGATTTTGAATAATTGTTTTCTGGAAAACCTTCATTGACTTCTGGGCTATAGGTACATATTTTGGGTGATAGAAGAGTTATTGCCTGTGGTTCAAAATATATTCTCACACTCAGACACCCCTCGTTAGATCATAGGAGGATTTCCCTTAGTCATTTTTCTTTTTCCTTAATTGCCTTCTCTTGCACAGAGGTCAGGTTGGCTCTGCTGGCATTTCATGGTGTAGAAGCAATCACTGAGGAAAGCAGGAGTTTGTGCATGTTTTGATGTCTTTGATGCACCATTCTTCTTCCTGCCCACATCTCACCCCCGAGGAGCTGCCAGAAGAATCCTAGATGGGCACAGATGGATCAGCAGAGTGGCTTTGAGGGCAGCCCTCTGCCCTCCCCATGGCTCAGCTGTACCATGGTGGGGAGCCAGGCCATTGTGCCCCCTTCTTCTCCCTCAATCCTCAGTTCCAAGAAGCTGATCAAGGAGAAACAATGGTTCTGTGATTATGTAAAGCAGTAGCAGGTTCCCAGTTTTTATAGGAAGCTCTCACTAACCTCTAAGTCAGTCTTTTTTTTTTTTTAACATTATCAGGAGAACGGCAACTGGAAAATGGCTTTATTAGGTGAAATAGGATTTAAAGGAAAATGGATCTCACGAGATGAAGCTAAAATCAATAGGAGATTGCACTTTTTCTGTGAGTCTTTAAGACTACATATGTACTGTGTGGTCTAGTTTTGGGTTAGGAGCTTGTCAGGTTTTGTATCCAGAGGTGGCTTTGCAGTTAATAAAATATTATTCTTTTTAAAGTTAAATTGCATTTATTATTGGTAAAGGTGGAGCTGTGTCTCTATGAAGTTGATGAAGTGTTGCCCTTTAAGGGTGAAGCTATGGCTGTGTTTTCCTGTGAAGTCATCAAACTGTGTGGTTGGTGCAGAGTGTAGGAGAGTAACTTCAATTCAACTTCTGTATTCTTTCAGAAGGGGTAGTTCTGTTAGCAGCAGTGCACTCCACTAAAGTTTGTGCAGCTCTCTAGCAGTAGGTTTTTCCACTGCAGCCCACCACTGAAGTATCTGTATGACTGGAACTTGCTTTGCTGTTGGCTTTCAGTTACTGTTGTGGGGGGTTGCATGTGTATGAGGTTCAGAAATAGCTTTTTCACAGAAATTTGGGGCAGATAAGTTAACTAGAAATCATCAGAAATTAGGAATATATATGCCAAAAGTCATTAATGTTCTGCCACTTCGGAATGAATGAATGAAGGACATACATTATCATTTAATTAAGAATTCTGAGCTTTTAGTGGCTAGGGGAAAAAAAGAGCTACTTATTTAATAGTGTTTTTAAAAGATGAATATGTTTAATAAAGTGTAGGTGTTCACAGTATTGGGGAGGCAAAAACAAGCTTTATGGTCTTGTATTTACTTCTCAGTCATATTTACAGACCACTCAGACAATCAGCAGAGCAGGTGTCACCAGGTGGCCCAAAGCCAGTGGTGCAGAGAAGGAAGGAATCCACCTGTTCTGGCCTTCTGGGGTTTAGCATCACCTTTGAGTCAGTGCAGACTGCTTTTCCTAGGGAAGTGCTGTAAGGCAGATAGGTGGAGATTTGGGATAACATCCTCTGTTGGTTCAATTCAGATTGTACCTATCTTATTTCAGAAAATGAATGTAGAATGTAGATAATTGATCAGCTTGACAGCTGAGATTTGGTATCTTTCTAGCATGGGCCTGGAGAAGCGCCTTTGTTTTTTGTGATAAAGAACTATGTGTAAGGTCTTGATTAAAAAGAGAGTTTTCCCTTGTGAAAAGGTGTCTCTAGCTTTTGACCAGTCAAACATTTGCTGTGTTTTCTGTGACTTCATGCTGATACTACAGATGCTGACACATAACCAGACATCTGCCTCAAAGTGACATGTGCTCTGGGAGCTAAAGGGAAGGTACAGAAAGCTTCGCAGTATCTTGGTGATACTGCTTCTGTCACCAAACCCTTCATGAGTCATCAGAGATTGTCACATTTTGGTTATGCCATAAACAAGGCTCAGGTTGAATTTTGAAAGTATTAATAACCTTTATAGGAACTTACTGTAAATGTTTCATGTTCTTTCCAGAAAAATTTTCTTGTGGTCGTTTCAGTTTCACTCTAGTGCCATTTGTTTTTCTTTCATTATGGATGAATCATCAAATAGCTGAATGTAGAATTGAATTTGACTGAGGTCAAATTCATTGCTTGTATTGGTAATTACAATTTCATTTAAATCTGTCATTCACACTTGTAAGAAGCTGTGGCTTTTGCTCTAGCCTCCTCACTGAAAGACACATTTTGCCTCTCCATGCACATTATTTGTGCTGTCATAGGAATTATACCCAATTAGGATGACACCAATATTCTTACTCTCCTTTTCCTAACCTCTGTTTTATTACCCAGTGAATGCATTTAAACATCCAGAAGGCAGAGAAACCACAAGGGACTTTTCTCTGCAGCCCCTTATGTGTTAATTTTTTTTCCTTCAGGTTTTTACTATCTAAAGAGATATTTGTTCTGGCTATCTTTTGATTTCTGCAATTGGAACAGCTGTTTATATTGGGCCTTCAGAGAGACCAAGGGGCGCTTTGATGGTCAGTGACACTCTGAGAAGTCCTTCCATGTGTGCTGTTTCTAACTGAGTTGTGAGTGTGCAGCGGCTGGGCAGGATGAGAGGGCACCAGGACAGACAGGAGCATTACTGATGCACCACTTGCTCTCGGTGATTTGTGGGTGTGGCTGTAATGCGTGTGTGAAGGAAATGCTGCTGTTGCAAAGGAATCAGATGACCTCCCAGATACTGAGCACGGTTTTTCATTTATAATTGTGCGTACTTGTACAATCTGCACATAACGATAAAAACACTACAGTGAAACTGAGGTGAAGTTTGGGTAATGTTTCAGTCTAGAAGTTTGAAGTAAAGACTTTGGCAATAATGAAAAAAAGTATCTGGATTTTACATCTCTTTAAAATGTCTAAATTTGGCATTTTGGATTCTTTCCTATAATGCTGAGAATTAAAGATGCGTTATCTTTAGTAAAAAATGTTAGTAAAGTTTTAACAAATTTCTGCCAGTAGAAATTTGTTAAAATGTACATGTAAGTTCCCAACAGCATGGAGTTGTATCTTCATTTTCTAAGTCTTCAATATGTTGGTTTTGTGACCACCACCACTAGTTGGAAATACTCTGTATATGAATATGGAGACTATTTAGCTCTTTCTGGTCAGGTAACCATGGTTGTTCTCCCTTTTCAGTGCAATTCCAAAGAATAGCGAACTTAATACTCTAGGTGGCTGACATGAGTTCACCAGGTGAGCTCAGCTCAGCCTGTGGAGCAGGTAGTGTCTAAGGGCTTTTAAAATGTCCAGCAAAGGTGTGTTATGTTGAAATCAATTTGTGCAACAGCATATACTTGGAAAAAACACAGTTAAAAGAGTGGAAAAAGAAAATAGAAGAGTGGATTGGATTTTCTTTTTAACAAAGGAGAAAGTGTAACTAGGAGGGATATAACTTGAAAGAATTGTGTGATGTCACAATTAATATTCCTAGTATTTAAAAATTATAAGAATGAAAGCCCCAAAAACTTTAGATTATCTTTTAAGACTTTGATGAATGATGCATAGACTAATAGAGAAGCAATCAGTGTCAAAGAAAAAATGTTATTTGGTCACAGCATTGCTAAACAGGCTGTAAAAGAAGAGTATGTGCAGGTCATTTTTGATCTCTTAGCAGGTCAAGCAGATCAAAGCTATATAAACTACAATAAATCCAGTCAGGATGCAAAACAGTTGAGATAAAGCTCATTAAACCATGTAGGTCTATGCTTTATGGTTAATTTAATTAATATTGAGGATTCTTTTAGATCAGTCTACAGTACTTGTTGGTCTTGGGGTTACTGGTTTTTTTTTTAAATAATATTATTTTTCTTTTAAACAAAATGAGTAGTTTTCAATCTGCAGGTAAATTTTTCATAAGTAGAAACTGACTAAATCTATTGGATCTACTGGAGTATTTTACTCAGTTCTGCCACAGACAGAACTGGTCAAACTGGTAGAAAACCAGCCCTCTAAACTGATTTTGAGATGTGTTTCCTCTGTTTATCTAAGCCAAACTTGAAGGGGGCTGGATTCCTAAGAAGCTGCCATCTGATGTAGATAGCATAGAATTATTTTTTTCTATAATAATGGTACAGAAAATTATTCCAGGGTCAGAGTGTGTGGTGGGTATGACAAATCGATGCAGAACAGCAAATTAGTGTCACTTTTGGAACAAAACAGTAAAACTTGTTCTGCTCTTCTCTCTGTCCTCACAGGCACATGATACTGCAGAGATTCAAAATCAGAAGTAAATCAGCTGGACAGTTGCCTCCTGCCTTCCTAAATAGGCAAACATATTAGCAACAGAAGAAGGGGCCTACCTACCTCATTCCTGTGAGTAGCTATAAACATCCCCTTCACCCCTCAAATCAGCATCTGCCAGGTAGTTGTTTTGGAAAGCTGAGCATAAGGATGTGGTGAAGAAAACAAAAATTTTAATTTGTTTTCTTATTGGCAACAATTAAGTGTAGACAACTAAAGAAACCAACTAAAATTATTAACAGGCTACCCACATGCCTATTGCCTGTGACTGCACAGAGCTGATGGATGATGCGTTGTTACTCATTAAATCAACCTTTTCCTGTGCTTCCTAAAGCTTGCATGCTGCATAAATTCCTAAAACCATCCATATCATTGCCATGTTAAACTGATGCTGCTGTTGATGTGTCACTGCAGAAGCTGTCTGGGGCTCAGTTCTTTGCTTTTGTATTTCTTAGCAGTTCATTCTGTAATAACATGGTGTAACCCAATGTGAGGCTTGAACAGAAGATCCCCAGTGACCCCCTTGGTCAGGGCAGTGAGCAGAACAATGTTTGCTGAATTGCTGCTGTGTAGCTGATATTCCTGCTCTGAACTGCCTTTTCCTTGCTGACTTCTCTGTCCTTTCTCCAGGGAGAAGGTGGGTTTGCTGCTGTGGATGCCTGCCTTGTTTGCTTCACCAAAATGAGTTAGGGCATGCAGGAGAGAAGGGAGACTTTTGCAAGCAGAGCCTATCATGGTGAGTCAGATTTTGTCCCTGCTTTTGCTGTAGAGCTTCTCACTGTCCCTGCATTGCTTAAACCAAACTGTTTACACAGAATTCTCTCTCCCCTGGAAGTATGTTACACATAACACTTCCTTGGCAGCAGTGCTGGATTGGGAGGTTCTTCCCTACTGCTTTTGCCTCCCCTGCCCCATGAGGTCCACAAAAGTGCTTGGGGGGACCTTCAGCAAATTAAAGCAGCAAATTGAATGGAGCTGAAAATAATTACTCTCTACCATCTATGCATGAAAAGTATGAGAAACTGGTCTGTAGCTTTGATTTGGAACCACAGCATCTGTCTTGAACATTATCCTAAAATTAGGTACATGTGAACTGTATTTTTAATTTTGAGTTGCTAAATACCCTCTAAAATACCTCATACTAATACTCATAGAGATTAATTCTGCATGACTATAGATTAAGTTTTCTGTCATTGTATACTGTGATTGTGAAGGAGTCCCAAGAGTGCAGTCCCAGTCCGTAGCACTGCAGCATGGACATTGTATTTGCCCTGGTATCTTCATGTAATGGATTTGTTTCTAATTTTGAAGCTTATCCTTAGTTTTGAAATCTACTGCAAAGAACTTTCTCAACAGCAAGAGGGAGTAATGAAACATAGTTTGTTATAGAAGCATTGCTTTTCTCCCTCCTTCTCATGGTGATAATTCTGTCTCCTGTCTTGCCTTCTTTATTGCCTTCATTTTTCCAGGTTTTCCCAGCCTCCCACTTCTATGTTATCTCAGTGATATGGATGCTGCTGCTTCTCCATGATCAAAATGGATACTTGTACAATTCTCAGCAAGAATCCCTAAGGTTTTACTAATACCATACTTAATCCTCAAAAGCTTAAATAAAATCCAGTAAGCACAGAGGAGGGTGGAGCTTAGCAAAAATTTGTGCATCAGCTATAGAGAGAACTGATGAGCTCAGCAATAGTTCAAGAGCCTTAAGACAGTTTGGAACATCAAGTCCCACTTCTGAAAGGAGGAGACAAAGAATCTGTGTTCAAGCAGAGACAGACGTAGAAACTATGTTCAAGCAGAGACCTCTGGCAGTCAGAGACAAAAAAAAAAAAAAAAAAAAAAGAAAAACCCCAAAAAACCAAACCAAAAAACCGAACCCACAAAAACAAACCCCAAAACCAAATAACAACAACAAAAGAATGTGCTCCCAAAACAACACAGGAATGGGACAAATTAATGCTTGAAAGTAGCAAAGAAAGATTTATGAGCTCTAACTTTGGTTTTCTGCTTATCCATGCACGATCCAGTCTGTTTACACATATTTGGTATGAAGGTTTGCTTGAAAGAAAACATTTTTCAGAAGATATTGCATTTGTTTTTGTTTAAATTAATCCTGAATTAACTCAAAACTGTCATATTTGTAGACACACAAGTGCTTAGGCCTGTCTGAGTGCAGTATGTGGGAACCCTCTGTCCAGAAGCTTGACCTGACACATCCATACAAGATACTGAGATTATGTGAAAACTGAGATAACATAGAAGTGGGAGGCTGGGAAAACCTGGAAAAATAAAGGCAATAAAGAAGGCAAGACAGGAGACAGAATTATCACCATGAGAAGGAGGGAGAAAAGCAATGCTTCTATAACAAACTATGTTTCATTACTCCCTCTTGCTGTTGAGAAAGTTCTTTGCAGTAGATTTCAAAACTAAGGATAAGCTTCAAAATTAGAAACAAATCCATTACATGAAGATACCAGGGCAAATACAATGTCCATGCTGCAGTGCTACGGACTGGGACTGCACTCTTGGGACTCCTTCACAATCACAGTATACAATGACAGAAAACTTAATCTATAGTCATGCAGAATTAATCTCTATGAGTATTAGTATGAGGTATTTTAGAGGGTATTTAGCAACTCAAAATTAAAAATACAGTTCACATGTACCTAATTTTAGGATAATGTTTTGAATACAGAATTTTTCCTTTGGAACCTTTGTCACTTCAGAAGTCCTTGTGAGTTTGGACACTGCACTCAGCATCTGTGAGTCCCTGTCTTTCTGCTTGGGTGTCAGACTACTTTGATTTGTCCTTGCCAGATCACCAGCACTGAGCAGATTGCATTGCTCTGTTCTGCTGGGACAAAGTCAATCCATGTTAATGGCTTCTTTAATCTTTTAAAAGTGATTATTTTATTTGGGGGCAGTGGCTCCAGCCAATTCCATTCTCTTGCTAGGGATAGTAGTCAAATAGAGATAAGCAGTGCCTGAATAAGACAAGTCAGACTCTAATCTTGCCTCATTTTGTGCCTAATTTATCTGAAAAAAAATTCTGAACTTGGTTCTCAGAAGTCATAAAATCGCATGGCTTATGTGATTTATCTTCTCCAACGTTGATTTCAGGTAATACTGATTAGCCCTCTATATACCATTAAGTCTTATGTATCTAATCTAAACCAGATTTGTCCAATGTATCTTGTTTGTGCATCTGAATTGTCTAATTCTACTGTATACTTCTGTTAAATTTTGGATTTTAAGGTCCAGAAGAGGGAAAAATTAGAGCAGACCAAGGAACCTGCAGACTTGAAGAAAGAGGAGGAAATTCAATTATCTATTATTCCACCTTGCATAAGGTTTTTTTAATAGTATAAGTCTCTTTTAAGCTACTGATTGTTTTTGTAAAAATAGATCCTTCTTGGATATTTCTTTTACCAACTTCACACAACTTACTTCTCTAAACCCCTGATGCCCTGGTTTAGATGGCTAAATCTTCAAGTCACAGGTGCTGTTTGTTGCTGTCTTGAGCTGTGGGAGCCCTTCAGGTCCTACTGAGCTCAGTGTCTACTAGAGCAAGGTGGTGGTCTGGCTTGTAAATAGGCCCAAGTATCTCTCACCCTTCCTCTTTGAGCCTCCTGGGTGCTTCTCCTTTGCAAAGGAATTTCCAGGTTCTACTTTGTTTTACACATCTGCATCAGGCAGCTGCTTTTTCCAGCAGGGCTGGGGACAGCATCACCCAAAGCACAACCAACTCCTGCCTACGAGTTGTCAGCAAACTGCCTTCTTTGGGATGTAGGCCATGTCCCAGAACTCTCCTGTAGTGAGGAGGTGGTTATCACTTTTAATTTTCTGATGCAGTTACTATAACTTGTAGTCAGAGTGATAAGACACAAATGTTATTCCATTTTATTTAAGTTTCATCTTGGTGGTTGCTGTGGTAGTATTTTTACAGAAGCTGGCTTATTATAGAGCAGTGGCATTTGGTTTTGCAAGTAACTGGGACACCTTACCTGTCACTACAGGCAGCTTACTCTTGAATTCATCATTTGGCAGTTACTGTTCATTTTAGGCTGATTTAAGATGATGTACCATTTGATTATAGTCTGAATTTCAATATTGAATTTGTCCTAGGAATCTTCATTAAGATACAATTAATAAAGATTAATTGCTGCATTAGGATACTTGGGCAGCTCTGCCTAACGTGGGTGGAAGTAGAACTGTGTTGTAATTACAGACAATGCTCTGTCATTTTGAGTTTTAATTTCTAGTTGGATTGGTTATTTTAATAACTGTCTATAATCAGATGTTATATTACATAATAGCAACAATATTGTTATGGCATGAGGTACATACTGTGACTGAGTGCAAACATGGAGATGTAGAAAACATAAACATTCCAGTTAGTTCTCTTCTACATGCCTGTACAGCTTTCATCACTTATTTTGTCAGTGTGAACTGAATTAATTTACTCAGTTCTCATGAAATGAAAATACTTTTGCTATATTTTAGAAGTAGAGTAAAATACTTCTAAGTCCTATTCCACAGTGAGAAATTAGATTCATTCTCTTTTGCACAAACTGTTTAAATCCTGTTTTTTACCACTGAATCCATGTCTCTAAAGCACAAACTTCACAAAGCCTTTCAGGCCAGTGTATTTCTTCTCTTAGCCAGTACTGTCCAAGGTAGTTTCTCATGGAATTTCAGGAAGTTTTTGTTTGTCTTGAAGATCTCTTTTTCACAGTAAACCTGTTTTTCCAAGGTAGGTAGTTCTAGACCTGGGTGAAAAGAATTAAATGTATCCTTTAAAAAAGTGTTCTCACTGGACAATCTAACCATTTAATTAAAAAATATGGACTGGTTCAGTTCAGAGCAAGATTCTGTCATTCTACAGAAATATATCTCAATCTAAGAATCGTAATCCATGAAAATTACCAATACAGATAGTAGAAGGATACAGTTTAAGTATTTGGTACTTTGATAGTGTTTATACACTCTTTTTATAGTTATTTGGCATGAAGTCCATGGGAATTTCTATTTCACTGGTTTTGCTGTTAATAATATGATGTGCATGGTGTCTGCAGACAAAAATAGAGACAGTGGCTGCATGATGAAAGCATGATCTTTGTCTTTCTTGAGGTATTACTAATTTTGAGAAGGTCATTAGAAACTCTTTAATTTCTAATGTGTTAAACTTTATAATCAGAATGGTTCAAAATAAGTATGTCTATTTGTTCTAGATGCTGCATGTGTTCTGTCGTAGAGTTTAAGCGTTGCACAACTAAATTATGGTCCAGCCTAAGTTCAGAGTCATTTTATCAGTAGATTAATGTGTTTTTGAATTACCTCTCCTGCAAAGCCAGAAAGGATTTCAGTAAATTAGACAAAAGCTATCCATACCTGATCTCTCACTGGTTTTTAATGTATATAAGGGCAGAGAGCACATGGCTGGGGAAGCTGGCACTGTTTGTATTGCTAAAAGAAGGAAGAGCCAGTTCATAGAGAAGACAGGGAATACCTTGTTTCCAAGTAAGTCATCTCCTCTCACATTTCTTCTGAGCTACCTCTGTACATTTAAAGCATGAAAAACTGACATCATTTGTTTCACAAGGATGTTTAGAATATTTGGAAACGTTACCCAGAGAGAATAAGATTTTGAGTAACTAAAATAAGTTACAGCATAAATTAGACCAGCAAGATTCTAAAAGCATCTCTTCGTGGAGCTGTCAATTCTTTACAGAGGACTAGAGGAGCCTTAACACTCTTGTAAACTGAAACAACATTTGGCAAATGGTAAATTTCAAGGCTGAAAAGGGTCAAACAAACACTGT